AGAAGGGCGGGCTAAAAAGTGAAGTTATGTTTTTAGTAAGGAAAGCGAGCAAAATGCTCTATACTAGAAAGCGCCTGCTCAAACTAAATTGCCAATCAAACAAGGTAATATCGGCATGGAAATTCATGTGATAATAACATGAACAAGTTTCTGGTGTTTCCACCTTCCCCTCCTGAACCTCAACTATTTATGTCATGAGGTAAATGTCCATAACACAAACTTCAACATTTCAGTGTGCACAACTGTGAATTATTGCAACATGGTTATGCACACTAATTTGTGCATAGCATTATATAAATCTTTTGGCTGCTTTAAACACTGCGCGTTTAGTTTAGGCGCAATAAAGTGTACATGGATTTCGCGTCTACTCACATGAGCCTTCTGCCTCAGGCCATGTCGGACGCGAGCGCCGAGGTGGGATTGTCCGCGTACCGGGGAGCGTGGCCGGCCGAGGACGCGCGCGCCCGCTTCATCCGCACCATGGTGATGCTGCGCGCCACGCGTCCGGCCCAGTTCACCTGCAAGGGGCTGGGTGCCGTGGGCCTGCCAGCTTGTCAGTCCGTCCTCAGGTCGTGGTTCTCTTACCTGCAGATGCTCCTGAACTTTGCCAAGGACGGCGGCTAACCGAGGGTGAACTCACTGCACAGTTCTCTGTTCGTCAGTCAGTACACTCTATGTATCGTAATTATTAAATAAATATGTGACGGCAAAGGTGATGTAATGTTTCAAATTCATTCAGTCCCAAATGTAATATGCAGAATCCCTTTTTGACGGGATGGGGGGGGGGGGAGCACCACATACACCCTGAAAAATGATTTCTTGACTCAAGTACATTTTGTACTAAAAGTGACACAAGATCGATTTGTCATTGACTCAAGACGACTTTTCGGTAATTGTTTACTTGAGTGACTCCTCGCCCTGGAGTCACTCAAGTATACCATCGGAAAGGTATTTTTCAGTAGTATCCTGAACAGTATTTATGTATTGGCGCTCGAGTCTGGTTTTCCTCAAAATTAAATAAATATGCGTCGCCGCTAACCTTCAGATGCACTTCGAAGACGGCAAAATAACTTAGGG